ATTTCGCTGGGGGAGGGTGCGAGGGGATGAGCGGGTGGCTGTTCAACGCGGGGTTTAATGCCTCCTTGCTTGTTTTGTTTCTCAATTTCCAGGCTAAGGCCTACAGGGAGAGGAAGAGGGATTGATCTTGTTTGTTTTGTTGGGTTTTGCTTTGTGAGCCGTTTGTTTTGTTTGGGTGGTTATCTTTCGTTTGCTGCTGTGGGAGAATAATAACAATGTGGCGTTGTTATCATTTATTTGAGTGAGTAAATGACCGTAGTTGCTGGTCGTGACGATCCAACTGGCGTTGTTATTATTTACTGTAGTGAATAATAACAAAAATTTAGTGAACAGATAAAAAGAGTGGACTTCCAACTGATGTAGCCATGTATATCAACCCTGTATACATCACCTTAAACACCTCTATGCTACAGTATAATCCCGGTGAAATCATAAAATTCTCAAGAGTTGTCAAATAGTTATCAATGAAACAAATGTTCAGAAAGAACAGTAAATGACTAAATGAGATGGTTTAAAAAAATACTCTACACAATACTGTAGCGCCTATCTTATAGATGAAAGAAGAATTCTATCAATGGCAATAAATCTTTTTGGTAGAAGTTATGACATGTATAGGCTTTTTCATCTACCCCAATTTCCGTGGTAATGAACTCTGAAGACCAGCCTGGAATCCTTGGGTATATGCGGTATTCTTTAGAATCACCTGTAGCAACATTATCAAACTCAAAATTGTCAGCTTGAGAAACTTTGATGCCTTCTTATCACATTTAAATAAAAAATAACAAAATGAATGCCAGCTAAAAAACAACCCAAATCAAGCTTCTTAATAGAACTGGTTAGAGGTTGTATTATCAGCTAGTATAATGAAAGTTGGTAAAACGTACAGTCAAGTTCTCCAAGTCCGAGGTGATTTGCTTCCTGACTGCATCCACCACCGAAGAATCATGACTTTCTTTCTTTTGATCATCTGCCTTGTTTATCTATTGAGAGTTCGTGAAATGAAGAATGAACATAAAGTTAGAAGAATGAACACTGGTAGAAGCAGTAAAATTTGTAGTGCAAAGAAAACCTCGGATAGAACAACTGCAGCTGTCTTATCAATAACTTCTCTGACAAATTTTGCAACATTAGCTGCGTCATTTGAGGCATTTGAAGTGTTTAAGGACTTCTGTGGAGTTGCTTTTGTTTTGCTGGCGGCACCTGATAAATATAGAAAAACAATTATTACTGGAAAACATGGAGTGTATTCAAGTTCAAATAAACCCATATTGCATCAGTAAAATACATTCATAACAGAATCCATTCATGAAAAAGGATAAACTTTGTTTTTAATTAAATCATGAACAAGGATATGCTGATTAATCAAAATTGAGAACAATGAATAAGGGTGTTATGGCCAAGGCCAATGCACTGGGTTGCCAAACCTGTTTCAAAGTACCGCTACCACAGAAATATCAGAAAACATAATTAATATTAGAAAATATTTTTCTTCAAAATAGAATCATTCCACAGAAACCATCTTTGAATGTCAATTTATGTACCACAAACCACCATAAAGTGAGTTTATATTACAATCAACTACCTCCCAATCAAACTTTCCATTGAAAACCCAAACATACTCTTAAAAACTCACAATCAAGGCATGTGACTCAGTTTGTTAATGTTTATCTCTAGTTGGGATAAAATTCACGTACCTTGAGTGCGAACTTTATTAAAGGTAATTTTTGGTTTTTTAGCGAAAATTTGACTGGGAGATGGTTGGTTGCAACACTAACCGCACTTTAAAGGTGGTTTATGCATGAATTGACATTCAAACGTGATTTTTGTAGAATAACCCTATTTTTAAGGTGGTTTCTAGAAAAACTCTAATTATTATCTTTTTTTTAAGAAAATAACCAATAAACATATCAGTTATATGGTCTCATTTGCATGTACTTGTACATGCCTTCAAGACTTCATCTCCCTATGGAGGTATAATTTTTATCTTTTTTATAATTATTTTGATAGCATTTAGAGATTATGTCATGATGAGATTGATAATTACTTCTACCAACCTACATGATCCCGCTAACCAGCTAACCTGGTACATGTGTCAACATATCATATTAATAATATTAAGAATTTAAGAGTCTTTTTTCCTAAAAACCACCTTAAAATTGGGTTATTACACAGAAACCACCTCTGAATGTCAATTTATACATAGACCATCTATAAAGTAGGTTTGTGCTGCAATCAACCACATTCTTAAAACTCCCTTTCACAATACCAAAATGCAAAGGCCTAATTA